GCCACACACAAGGTCCTGACAGATGCAGGGGCTGTCTTTCGCTAGGACTCCTTTCTGTGGCAGTAATTTTAAGAGAGCAGTCCATAACTCAAAATCGGTTTATCCATAATTCTCAATTAAGGCACCACAGAAACATGTCAACCACAGATGCCTAAAGAACAGTCAAAATGACAATTCTGTCTCATTCCTGGAAACTCCAAGACCATCAATGCCACACTAGGGAAACCATGATGTATCAGTGTGTTCCTTTCCACTGTGGAATATGGATCAATACTAAGAAACTGCTCCACCAAGGCAGTAAAACTTCTGAGGAGGCTTCACAGCCTATAGGTGTGAAGGCCATGGGATCACCACTTGGACACAGCTTGCATATTGCAGAGTTCAGATGCCAGCACAGAGCTGGGCCCCAGGCCAGCAATGAGCAGCTGGGCCTGCACTGGAGAAAGGCTGTTGGGAGGCAAGACCAGGCTTCTCTCTCCAGATGTCTGTCCTACCCATGGGGGCGCTATTGTTAGCATTCACCTTAGGTAAGGAGTCAGCCATAAGGTCAGAAATGTGCCCAGGCCCCAAATAAAGTTGAACCTGAGTCTGCAAGTATCTAAGATCTGGCACTTTGTTGGTTTCTAAAGCTATCTGGACCTCTCTTTTCTCATTTAGACCATGGAAATGGTGTGAGACCCCAGGGCCGTTGGAGGAAGCACCGGGATGAAGAACAAATAGGACCTCTCCTTTCTATCCCTCCCATCCTTAACAAGGCCAGGCACAGAAGGCATGTTCAGATTCAGAATACCCAGGCTTGGCTTAGAGTCAGAGAGACCCAGAATTTCCCACTGCCTCACCTCACCGGGCTTCCTGCAGATCCAGTTCTGGTCCTCAGAAGCTCCGCCATTGTCGACAGCCTCTCCTTCCTGTTTCTGTGTTTTCTCCACCAGCCAGGAGACCCAGAGCTTCTGGGAGCACCATTAGAGTCCAGGAAGGAATGATTCAGTCTGCTGTTTAGACAGACGGTAACCCTCTTCTAGACCCTTCCTTTATAAACATCATATTGCCATTGCTTGATTTCTCACTTGGACCCCAAAATTTTGTGTTAGTTCTGGTTATCACAGGGGACTCTCTTTGCTTACTGACTATAATTTCCAGTCCTCCTTGGGTATCTTTGCCTTCTAAGGAGCCACATTTGGTCATTGTCTTTGTCTTTGGACACTAATAGTAAAGGGTAAACCCTAAGGATGTTGGAGGGGGCGGAAAGGGGACATACATGTTGCAGAGCAGATAACTGGGTCCAGTAAGTTCTGCTCTGAAAGTCCCACAGGCCCCTTGACCTGTCAAGGCCCCTGTTCCCATCTCAATGAGTGCTGAGGAACATAGCCTGAAACCTCAGCAAGAATGAGTCTAGCTAACTGCTGCTATTGTGAGTCCTTCTCAAAATTACCACACATTTCCTCTCAAAAAAAAAAAAAAAATAGTACTGTCTACAACTGTAAGTTAGACATAGGATCATATTTCATTAATATTTACTATACACAAAGAATACTGTGAATTGTGTTCTTGGAACTTCACAAGCTCTTGATTAGGCCTTGGATGACAACAGCCTTCAGACTCAGGCCCGGCTTTTGGTTCTCTGTGTCTAGTGACGATTCCTCAGGTGCCTAGCCTAGGGGCCCCCTCTACAGCTCTGTGTGGTTCACACTGGTGTGACAGTACCAGCAGCCTACTGCCCTTGCTATCCCGTTCACATCCCCTTCATGTGCTGCTCCTGACCAACAGATCAAGTCATGGTCACTGTGAGCATTGACCTACAGCACTGTAGCTCTTGACCTTCCTAATGCTGCAACCCTTTAATACAGTTCCTCATGTTGTGGTGACCTCAACCATAAAACTATTTTTGTTGCAACTTCATAACTGTAGTTTTGCTACTTTTATGAATCATATTGTAGATACTTTGGGATATAAAGGTTTGTCAAAGGGGTCATGACCCACAGGTTGAGAACAGCTGATCTACAGTTACGAGAAAAGGAGAGATATCCCCTTGCTAAGAAGCCCCTTACAATACCAGAAGATTAAAAGTACCTCCTTTTAAAATACAAATTCGATACTCTGCTCTATCTAGAGGTTTGCTATCCACGTGTACCTCCCATCTAAAAATATTAACTGGAAAGTTCCAGGAATAAACAGTCTATGAATTGTAAATGCTGTGCTGTTCTGAATAGCATGCTAAAGTGTCACCTAGTGTTACTCTACTCTGGGTTGTCCTTTGATTCAGTTTCCACACTGTATGTGCTGCCCACCCATTTAGTCATGTAGCAGCCATCTCAGGTGTCACACTGGCTGCCACAGTATCACAGCTTGTTTCAGGTAACCATGCTTTTGCTTAACAGCCCCAAAGTGCAAGACTGGCAGAGCAGAAAGACAGACTCCATTGCTGTGTGGCAACACCTCTGGGGGGCTTGGAAAAGCATAGAGTTCATGGGGTCAGTATACACAGGGAAAGCATGGTGATCGTGGCATGTGTGTACATGGTGGGATATGCATACATGGGGAAGCATGGTGTTGTTCATGTCATCTGTATACACAGGGGAAACATGGTATTAATGGGATATGTATACATGGGGGAAACATGGTGTTCATGCCATCTGTATACACAAGGAAAGCATAGAGTTCCTGGGGTTGGTACAGTCAGTTTCAGGTGTTCACTGGGGTTATGTTATGGCTGTCTTGTTCATGGTTAAGAGGGGGCATCTTAGTACAATGTAACCTTTACCTGTAATGAGCATTACAGACAGCTTCAGTCAGTATTGTCCCATATCCATACACACACAGTACACTGCTTTGATCCCATAAATTGCTTTAAAAAAAAACTGTAATCCACATTATAAAATCCTCCCTTTCAAAGTAAAATTCAGTGGTTTAAATATTTTCAAGAGGTTATGCTCCATCACCAATATCTAGGAGCTGGCCATTTTTATTTAGCATTTCACAGAGAATCCCTGTACTCAAAGCACCAGCCCTTCCTGTCAGCCTCTGTCAGGAATCTACTGTTGGGCTCTAACTCTGCTTACTCTGCACATTTGTATTCACGGGGTCTTGTGTTTTTATGGCCTGTTGTCTGTCTTCTGTCACCTAGCTTCATGTTTTCATTAACATTGTAGTCAGAACCCATGCCTTGTTCCTTCTATGGCTGAATATTGTTGTATAGACATTTAGTTCATTCCTACATGCTAGGCCATCGGCATACATATGTGTTTTCCTTTCTCTTGGGTCTTTATCTAGACTGAAGTCTCTGGCTTGTGCTAGCTGTATGTCTGACATTTTTGAGGAATTACCAATGTTTCACAGCAGCACTGCATGAGAGTTCTCATATCTGGAGAGGTGTGTGAATGCTCGTTGCATTCTGACTATTTCATGTGGACATCCTACTGCATGTGACATTGCTTGGTTTCTCTTTTAATGGTAAAAACTATAGTTTCTATTTTAAAAAAAAATCAACAAACAGTAGAAATTACCTAAATGGTTTATCAGAATTCACCCATCTGTGTTCCTCTTTTGTTTTTCATCTCATCCCTTGCTGAACTATTTCTCTTGATGATTCATAAGTAAAGATTTTGGAAATGTGAAATCCCATTTTCCCCCACATTCTAGGCATGTCTTTTATTTTACCTTCAAGTGTCAGATGAGCTTAGGTGTAGAATTTGAGCCTCTGGCTCCTGCTCTCAGTGTTTTGAAGATGCCAGTCCTTTGGCCTAATTGTTGTCTACTATAATAGTGTCACCATATTCTGTGGGTATTTTATTCCCCTCCTCTTTGATGTCCCACAGTTTTACTGAGCTATATATCAGTGTGGAAATCGGTGTTTCCTTCTCGACAGTCTTTCTCTAAGGAACCTTGTCTTCATCCTTTCTAGAAAAGTGTCAGCTAACATTCTCATTCTTTTCTGTATTATTTCTCCTTTCTCTTTTTCCAGTTTCTGTTCCTAATCTCCCAAAAATCCCTTAGTTCTCTGGGTTCCATGTTCAGTTTGTATCTGATGTGTCTCCTGATTTATTTCCTTGATGCTTTTCTTCTGTTTGCTCATTTTGATTGTTACCTAGTAGAATTTACTCCATTTGTTTCATTGTGGGTTTTTAGTATCACTTTCAGTGTGTATCTTAATACACCATTTCTGAGCTTTCACAGTTTCCGGTTATTCAGTTTTTTGTCTCTTTCCATTAATGGGTCTTATTTTTATGGCCATTAGTCTTTCTTAAGAACTCTGATCTACAAAACTTATTTACTTTAATCCTTGTCAGGCCCTTTTTGTAATTAATCACCCCTGGAGTGAACTCCTGCCCTGACTGAGCTGTCTAGACTAACTTACTTAGCAAGAAATGTCTTCAGGGGCTGGAAGATGTTTCCTTCCTTCCTTCCTTCCTTCTTTCCTTCCTTCCTTCCTTTCATCCTTCCTTCCTTCCATCCTTCCTTCCTTCCGATTCAGTGTGAGTCATCAGGACTTTCTGGTTTTGTTCTGGCCTCATGCTCCCTGTCTGGTGGTGGTTACCCTCCCCCCACCCCACCCCAGCACAAACACACACACATACCCTCATCCACACCTGACTTCTTCATCACCGTTTAGAGATCCACTATAAAATCTGGGACCGGAGCCTGAATCTGCTGTCCTTTCTAGAACCTTAGGTTGTGATACTCAAGCTCAGAGGTATTCTGGAGAACTCCTAGGTGCATGTGCTCATGTGCATGCCTGCAATGAGAATTGTACTCGGTGCTCCCATGTGCTCATGAATTGACTTACGCACTCTACTGCTGAGCTACACTCCCAGCTGCATGACTGCTACACTTAAAGGAACTTTGTGAACTCATTGTTAATGAGCTACTATGAAAAGTTCAATTAATGCATTCTCCAACAGTTAGCATTAATGTTAATATCATTCACAGAATCAAACTCTGGTGCCCACAGGTAACCTACATGGATGTCCTAGGCCCCTCTAATGTCTTTCCCTTCCCTGCAGGTATCAAAGCTGTGTTCTCGGGCCACTACCACAGGAATGCTGGGGGAACCTACCAGGATCTTGACATGGTGGTTTCATCTGCTATCGGGTGCCAGCTAGGCAAAGACACCCATGGGCTCCGCGTGGTGGTCATCACTGCTGAGAAAATCATTCACCGTTACTACAGCTTAGATGAGCTGAACAAGAGAGGAATTGACGACGACCTGAAGGAGCTGATGAAGGAGTGATTCCCCCACATAATCCATCCAGTTTTCATGCCCAGGACCTTTTATCTTGCCATAATGTTTACAGCCCTTCATAGCAATATTTGAGTAGACAGGCGGGTTTGTGAATGGATGTCGTTTTATATAAATCAAAGTGCTGGGTCCTATCCTCAATTATATTCAGAAGGGGCTGTCTTCCCTTTAAGAAGCCAAAAAAAAAAAAAGGCTGTGGATATGTCTAATTATGGTGTGAGACCTTCCACATGTGTGGGTAAACTCTCCTGCTGTGCGGCTCTCACTCTGCCCTTGAATCCCACTGTTTCTGATGTTGACAGTCAATACCCACCTCCTGCCCTCCATCCAGCTCAGTGCTCATGTGTGATCTTTAGTAATTCCTCAAACAAACTACATCTGCTTTTGTTAAATTGTGGTCATGACTCCCAGAACGCTGTGAAAACAAAGGTTCCTCCTCCCCTCCTGGCAGACCAAATCGTATCACTCCCTCCCATAGCCACAGATTCCTCACAACAGGGAGCTTCATAGCCACCACTGGTGGGAACGTCAAGACCTCTGTTACTGCTGATGCTGTAATCACAGGTGGTCCATGTGAAGGTGTGTTTGCCTTTCTGATGACATATGTCACCTTCATGCATAGACCCTGTGTTCCAGATGACCAGAACAGAGGCTGCAGCAGAAGGCCCTGGACATGTGTCTGCCCTGTCTATATCCTTCTGCTGCAGGCAGCCCACAGCATTATCAGATCACAGTGAACCTGGTGGGGAAACTGGACTTGCTGCAGACTTCTCCTGAGAACTGTCACTGGGCTAACTGCACTGTGTTAATTGCCACTGACATACAAAGCCCCTGACAAACAAACAAGCAGTGTGTGTTACTTAAAATCCTCTTCGCTATGGAATGTGTTCTGCTGCCTCCTCTGGGAGCCCTGACATCTATGGGCTCTTCCTCCATGAATCTTCTGGCCTGATGCTCAATGATGCTCAGTAACCAGGGCTCTATATCCTGCTGCAGAAGTTTATAGTGCCCTGCAGTGGCTCAGGGGAATCCTGAACCAACTTTAAAAACTCACCGGTTATAAATGAACAGCAAAGCCCATTAAATTTAAAAAAAAAAAAAGAAAAAAGAAAAAAACTTTCTTGTTAAAAAGTTTTAGTCAATGTAGCAAAACCATGAGAAATTAAATCAAAAGATAATTGGATATGTAAATTTATATGGAACAAAAGATACAAGAAGTTAATTACGTTACAGATTGGTGACACACCAGAGCTCATTGTTAGGTAGCACAAGAAAATTAAATTTTTCAAACCAGAATGATCTTGAAGTGCTTGGGCTATGTTCCTGTTTGTTTTCCTTCTTCTTTGGAGCAGAATGTAAAGAGGTCAGGAGAGGAGTGGGATTGGGTGGGGGGGCATAACTGATAGTCCAATTGTTCCAGACTGAGTACTGCAACCCCTGAACCCAAAACATGTGGGCTTGACTCCATGGTGGAAGAAAGTTTAATTACAGTGGGCTGAAGGCATGCCCTTTGTCCAAGTTCCATATGAAAAATGCAGCAGCCCCAGAATGGGGACAAGATAAGCAATGGAAATGAAGTAAGCCCTTGTCCTCAAAACACAGAAATTAAAAGCTGATTTAGAACCCCGAGAATATACTAAAGAAAGGAATGGCATTTCCAGTCTTCAGTGGAGCAGCTATATCAAGGTGGGGCTTGCTGCTATGGGGAACAAATGCATATCCCTCCAACTAAGACGGCATGTCACTATTCCATTCACTCATATGCCTTTTTTTTAAAAAAAAAGAATCTCATTAAAAGAAAAAATAATAAAGAACTCCTACGTGCACACGCTGTGTTTTTGAATGTTCTTGGGGTGTCTCTGATGTTTTAGCTCTGGAAGGCCCAGGCTGATTCCAAGGCAGCAGCCCATCCATGGGCATGGAAGGACAGAGATTCAGGCAGTTCCGACCTCAAGCATCAGATGGGGCATTATTCCTTGCTTCTGCTGTGGTTTTGATTTGGGTGTGGCTTGTCTTCAGATGACTCTGCACTTAGAAGTTTGGTCCTCATGTAGTTGTGACAAGGTCTTAGGGGATGGCTCTTAGGTCATTCTTGGGCCCCAGTTTCTCTGTGGCTTCCTACCTTACAGAGTGATCTCTGGCCACTGTAATATCATCTACCAAGAAGCCTTTAACAGAGTCACCATACCTGCCCTTGAAGGCCCAGAACAATGACATAAACCTCTTTGCTTTATGAAGCACCTAACATCATATATCTCATTATAGAAACAGACTAATACACTCTTTGCTTATAGTTGCATCTCCACAGATTCAGAAATGTTAGTTTTTGCTCCCTTCCCATTAGTCACTTTAATTAGAAAGTCAAGGGGCCACTAAAGAGGAAAAGTTATTTAAAGTGGTCTCAAATTGTTTGTGGAGGAGGTTGGCTTGATGATGACCATCTTAACTGCATTTTTTTTACAGGTTGTGGGGGCTACAGGTGAGGAGGGAGTGAACTAACTGTGTGTCTACCAAACAAAACACACCATATATCTTAAACATCTGTCTTAGGAGAGTGTCAGCTGCAGATAGAGAACTATAAGGTCAAAGACTAGTTCTAAGCCCAAACAAATGCCTAGGATCATTTGTCTCACAATTGTAGATGTCACACACATGACATGGTTCTAGAGCAGAGTCTTTGAAGAAGAGGCAGCGGGAACTTGATTGGCCTAGACTCCAGCTCTCCATACTTACCCTCTAACCAGTCTCTGCCACAGCTCTGCAGTCAGAGTAAGCATGGTAGTGCTCTGAGCCAGGAGCAGGTTCTGTGGATGCTTCCCACAGTAGACATCGAGTGAGAGGTATTCTTCTCACACACCCGTAGCAACTAGGCTGCACAGGCTAAAAACCACTTTGGCGTGCCAATTCTTCCAAATTGTCACCCAAGCTAGATGTCATCAGGAAGACAGAGAATAACCAGCACCCCACCTTTATCCTTGGTCCTGGAGCACAGTGAAGACATTGGAAGGAGTAACAAAAGTGTCTCAGCCCCCAGCTCTTCTGATCCTGGTTTCCTGAGTGGGTATAGAGCAGTAACCAAAGCAGAAGAGCCAGAGAATGGGCTGACCCCAGCCTGATAGCCATGAACTGAAGAGGCAGCAACTAAAGAGAAGGGCAATCTATATTAGATGCAGGTACTGCCCAGCGAGCCTCCAGAGATAAGCAGCTCTGCAGAGACCCAGCGAAAGCTCAGAAGCTGGTAGACCAACAGCAGCCCCCGTGTTTGAGTGAAAATGAGAAACAGAATGTCACACTGCACCTGAGCAGGAAGGAGAGCAACTTGTGCCACCTGGAGATTCATAGGGTGATTCTCCATGGACCAACTGCCTCCAAGCAAGCCCTAAAGCATACCTGAGGTTTGGGAAATGGACATATTCAGAGCACTCAAAACCTAGGGGACAATGCTGCTGTGAATATGAAAGTGCAGATGTCATCAAGAGGCTGTGACCATCCAGGTGTGCATGAAGAGATGGAAAGATGAGTCAGCAGTTAAGTGCAGTGTGTATGTATGTATGTATGTATGTATGTATGTATGTAGTATGTATGTGTGTGTATTTCAGCCTTTCAAAGGATGAGTTCCCTGTATAATGGACTGGAGTACATTGTCCAATGGGATGTTACATGATGTCACAAATGTGTGAAATGTAAATATTTAAAAAGTAAAATGGCTGGAGAGATGGCTTAGCGCTTGAGGTGTTTGCCACACAAGCAGCAAGGATGAGAACTGGAGCTTGGATCCCCAGAAACAGTTCAAGTTCAAGCGAGCATAGTAGCCTGTCTGTAATCCAGTGCTCAGAGAGCGGAGATTGAGTGGATGGGGCAGCTGGGGAGCTGTTTGAGTGAGCTCTAAGTTCAATTGAGAGAGCCCACCTCAACATAAAAAGTGCAGAACAATTGAAGGAAAGTCCCTTCATCATCCTTGGACCTCCACATGCCTGCACATACACACAGGCACATGCATGCATGTACACCACACACAGAAACACAAAGGGAAATACATGAATATGGTACAAAGCAGTGGTTCTAAGGGTGGAGAGGATGGGGGAGGTGTGGCCAGAGGGCACAGAGTCGCTAATGAGCAAAATGAACAAATTGGAACCTCAGGTAAAACACAAGAACATCCGAGTAGATCACACAGCCACTCTTAACCTCCAGGAAGAAAATGGGCCCCTAAAATGATGGGCTAGTTCCTGTCGTCCACCTTAGTAAGCACACCTGTAAGAGGGACAGAGCACCAACTTTTCAAAAAGAGGCAACATTTTTTTTTTAGCTGACGACAGTGTTATGAGATCCATAGTTTTGCAGTGTCAGGTCTGTGCCCACCGTGAGGCAGAACTTCACAGTGGTGGGCACATGTGGCAGAGGCTGCTCACTTCATGCAGACAGAAAACAGAGAGGACAGAGGACAAGACAACCCTCAAAAGCTGGCAGTCACCTCACCTGGGCCCACCTCCTCAGGGTTATATAACCTCCCCAAACAGTGTTGCTGGCTGGGGAGTGCTTCATCTTCCAGCCACAGCAAGATATGTACCTTACAATATCCTGTTGTGTATCCTCAAGTACTGCAATTGATTTTATTTTGAAACAAAATGTTTTTAAATCAAACTTAGAGAAGAACTGGCATGGGAATGAATTGTATCCCTTTTCTCTCACCAAGATGTTGCCCTGAGGACAAACCACTGTTGTTAAGCCATGAGTTAGGAATAAATAATACTTTTGCAAATATATGCTGTTGCTTAGACCAAAGAAACCAGACAAAGGAACCCAGGTCACTGGAGAGTAGGTGAAAAATCCCAGAGGGAAGAGGACTGGGGATGGAAAGCCTGATCATATACGAAGACTTCACACAAATCTCTGCTTTGCCCCAAATGCATGCATGGCATGTGTGAGCCAAACAGGCAAAATTGTAAAAGCTGCAAAGATCGGGACAAGATTTGACCATTGTTCAGAACAAGCAACAGGGAGTCTAATCTGTTCTCCTGCTAAGGCAAAAAGCTCAGCAGTCTTCAGAGGAACATAACAGAACCCCGATGCTACAGAGAATAGCATCACAATGCCCAAGACACAACTCCAGAGTGCTTGACATGGGGGGGTAGAGAGAGAGAGGAGAGGAGGGGAGGGAAGGGGGGAGAGAATGGGAGGGGAGGAGAAAAAAGGTAGGGGAAGAGAAGACAGGGGGAGAGAGGAGAAGAAAGGAGAGGAGACACTCAAGTCAAAAGACTCAAAGGGAAAGTCAATCAGCCCCAGGTGCCTGAGATGTTGGAACTCTTACTCTAGGCACTAGAATACCTACTGTAAAGAGTATATGCTCAAAATGGGGAAGCTCTTCTGAGGAATAGAAATGAAAATTTTGTAACTGAAAAATAAGACACCTGAATTTTTAAGACTCACGGTGGAAAAAAAAGACTCACGGTAGATCTAGGATGTTCTAGGACATGTTCATTTGCAGAATAGGGTCACTTGGAGAAGAATTTTGAAAATAGACAAGGAGGGTAGGGGGCGAATGGGACTGAGTGGATGGAGAGGTGGGCTAGATGTTGCAGCAATTTGGCAACAGCCCATGCAGGTGCATCCCCCACTCTGCTCCCTGAGGAAGCAGGAATGCTATGCACAATTCCCTCTGTCACCAGACAGCGGCCACCACATGCACAGAACTGACCATATGTGGCGTTCTCTACATCTTCACCTCCTCCAAGAGCCTCTGACTGCTTTAGCACTGGAGAAGGGAACAGCACGGCCTATACCACCTAAAGTCCTTGGTCCCCCAGGCTGTCCTTCAAGCCCTTAGAAATAATAGATATCCCATCTCAACATACTTTAAAAGGATGTATTTACTTTTTAAAAAACTAGCATATTTATGCTGGCGAAATCATTTAGTGGTTAAAGGCACTTGCTGCCTAGCCTAGCCAACTAAGTTCAATTCCTGGACCCCATATGGAAGGAAAGAACCAACTTCAGAAAGTTGTCCTACACACACACACACACACACACACACACACACACACACACACGGGGCGGGGGGGGGGGTGGGGCTAGAGAGAGAGAGAGAGAGAGAGAGAGAGAGAGAGAGAGAGCAAACTGAAACATCAAACCCCTAACCCTTGTGAACCATGTTTGCTGAAATGCCCATTGGTGGGATTACTCCTGTGTTCTTCTGGGGGAAAAGTGTGAACCCTTGAGGTGGGAACAGCAGCAGCCACTGTGTTCCTGAAGATCTGTTGGTTTCCTGTGCAGACACTTGAGTGAACAGTCCTCCCACACAGTGAACTATCCCCAAAGATATGTGTCAAGCAGGTGTTGGGCCCTGTGCCAAGCACATCTCTAACTCCAGGGAACTACTCAAATATTGATGTCTTCGTGTCCTATGCAGCCCCATGTCCCTCTTCTGTCCCTGGGAAACTTCTCCACACTGAGAGCCCTCATAGCTTACGATGGTGACTGACATATCAACTGTCTCTTTGAGGACAAGATGAGCCTCTTGCGAACACACAGCGTGACAATGTCCTAAGACAGCTCACACTTTCCAAACTGCCATTTGCCTCCCTCCCCAAAGCACATCCCCTTTTGTTTTTCTCCCCCCTTGACAAGTGGCTTTATCTTCTGTGTGCCTCAAATCAGAAACTTGGACCTATCTCTGGAATGTCTCACCTCCAGCACTCCCAGCTCCCATCCCTCTACACTGTAATAAGCAGCCAGGGCTCATGAGCTGGGCTCTCAACTCCATTCCTGCCAATTAACCTCTACAAATCTTGATTTCCTCTTCTGTAAAGTGGGGGTATGGTGGTAC